TTTTTTTTTTTTTTCACTTAACTTCCATAATAATGATGTGTCAGAGCAACACTTTGCAGGCGGGCCGACTTGGCGGGCCTCTCCTTTGCAGCCTCGTTGCCTCCCTCCACCACTCCCGTTTCCGAAAGAGAGGCAAAGAGAAATCAGGACGACTCGGGTGGAGAATCCGAACTCCTACGTGGTGGGGCTGCAAGGGAGGGAGGGAACGAGGGGCAGGGCTGAGGCAGCGGCCACCCCCGCGGTGCCGCCTCAGAGCGGCTGTGAGCCCCGGCGCTGCGGGCGACTGCCGAGCCGGGCGAGTTGAGCCCCGGAGCCGGAGAGCGGGCGCGAAAAGGAGCGCGCGGTCCAGCCGCCTGGCGCGGTCCAGCCGCCCACCCGGGTCGCAGCCGCGGGTCCCTCCGCTCCAGCCGCCGCCGCCGCCGCTGCTCCCGCGGCCCCGCAGCAGAGCGTCCGCCTCCTCCTGCAGCTGCCGAGGGTGGAAGGACTTAGAGGAGGGAAGGCGAGGAGGCGGGAGGGGTGGGGAGGAATGAAAGCTGCTCGGAGTCTGCCCCGGGGAGGGGGGCGGGGGTGGTGAGGGGGTGCGCTGAGCTTTCCACCTCCAGAGTCCGCCGCCTGCACGTGCAGGGGGCGCCAGCCCGCTGGGCGGTCGGGGGAGGGGGGAGGCGGAGGGGAGGGGAGCCGAGATTCCTAGGGGGACGGAAATTAACAAATTTGGAGCCCAAGCCACCGGTCAACTCCTTCCCCCTCTCCGTGCCTCCTGATCCCTCCACACTTCCAGCCTCGGGAGAGGATAGGTGGGCTCTAGTCTCCTGCTTCTCGCGGCGTCCCGTTTAATGGGCAGGTAATTTTCTCGGTGAGTGATTTCATGGAAGCCCTTCCTAATTATTCATCCCTCCGTCTGCCGGAGATGCACGCGCTTTCTGGAAAAAGATTATCCTCCAGGACCCAGGGCGCAGCCTCATTACCCGTTAAAATCACACAAACACTCACTCTTCACCTTTTAGCAAAATGAGAAGCTGAGCGGGAGGGAGAAAAGGAACGGAAACAAAATATAACCGCCTTTTGGAGCGGGAAGGTTGTGTGTAGGTGCTTCCTATGTCGTTAAAAAGGCACAAGAAAAAAAAAGAGGGGGGGGGTTGTACAGAAATCTCTAGCCTCTACCGGCTCGTTTTAGCCAAGATCTATGGCCCTCTGAGGAATACCGGGGGGGGGGGCATCCCCTCTTATGTTACTCAGTTGCCTTATGATTCCTTAAAGATGAGTTTGACGCGGGTCTGTGGGATGCAAGGAGTTCAGCAGAAGATGCTTAGGTTGGGGAGAGGGGATCAGAGACTTGGGGGTGAGAGGTGTATCCGAAGCCCTTATCCTACAGAGACTAGCACCTCTGAAAGGAAATTCGGAAAACACAGGATGGAGGAAAGCTGAAAACCCACTGAGCTAAAAGAAGCTCAAAAAGAGCCGAATTCCAGCCCGAAGATGACAGACCCTGAAAATGAAGGCAAAAACCACCAAGTGAATGCCATCAGGACTGGGGATGATTATGGAAAGCCACGTTAGATCAAAGGGATGCCAGTGTCTGCGGTGCCCCCGGTGTGGCCGGTGTGGCCAGACCCACGTGTGATCACAGGCTCACTGGTAGCTGTTTGATGCTTGTTCCGGTGATTAGAAGGCGGGTTATGGGAACTCACGCAGGTCCCCGAGCCCTGCTAAATGCTGGATAGTGAGTCTTTAGTTCCCCCTACTGGAAAATATTAGGAAAGAGTCCCTCCGTTTGAGGCGGCTGCAGGAAGAGTCTTTTGTTTGGTGGATACATTTTGGTGTTGCCACTTAATTTAGGTCTCCCTTGGCTATTATGGAGGTGATATTGTGTGTTTCAAAAAAAAAATGGTCAGCGACGCTTAAGCAATTAGGAGAGTTCTTATGGCATCTCAACATGCTCGGAAATTATGGTGATGAAATAGTCTTGCAAAAGAATAAAACCACTTTTCTTGTGAAGCATTAAAAGTAATTTCAGCACACTTTTGATCTACATTATTTAGTTGTAAAATTTAAAAAGTGCATTAACGTGCTGAAGTTAAATCACTTGAATCCTCACAGTAATGATTCTGACCGTGTTACTTGTTTTACCACTCTATGAAAGAAAGGCTAAAATACGTGTTCACATGTTTTTTGTTTTTGTTTTGTTTTTGTCTCTTCCCAAAGGGCCGAATCTAAAGTCTGGGAAAATCCCCAAATTCACTGGAGTAACATCTCTCTTATCTATCTGTAATACTGAAAAATAACTGATAATTCTTTAAACATGTATTTTAAACCTTTGGACTAAGATTTAAAGTAAAGGACTATAAAGTCTACCTTCCCCCTCCCCCCCCCACAATCTCTATCTCAATCAAATTTCCTTACATGTATTCAATAAAAATACTCTAACAATAGCATCTCCCTAATAAAAGAAAGCAGAAATTAAAATGATATAGATTTTAAGCCCTTAAACTTCAACATAGCTCTCAGAAAGGAAGATATTAGAATATTTCACCTGGAAGACTTTTCTCATGGCTATTAATTTATAGGACAAAAGATAGATTTCATTTTATACTTGATAGACTCACCATCTATAGATGCTTTTCCTTAAGTGATACATAAAATCACTCAGAGGCGGAAAGGATGTGTGTGGGAAGAAGGGGGGATAGGTTGGAGGAGAATGACCTACCATTTACTATTGCCCTCTAGGGCAGAAAAGTGTTGCCTCATATCTTACAGAAAGTTGTCCTTCCGTAGAGTATAACAAATGAGCTCATGGGGAGAAAAGGCTTATTTAAGGGAAATCCCTCTGGTTATATTTACTTGGCATTTTGCGCCAAGCATCATCATTTTGCATTCATAATACTTTATCAACTAAAATGGCAAAGAAAGCCCGTCATTTCTTCCTGGTGCCCCTTTTTGCTAGACGCTACCTACATTATGTAATAATGTCTAGAACAAAGGAATTTTGGAGTCCATGTTTTCTGCTTTTCTCCAAGATAAGTTCATAAGTGATATTTTAAAAGAATGTTTTGTCAGTATCTCATTTGATATTAAACATGATTCAGGAAAACTGATGTTACTTTTTTTTTTTAAATCTCATACCAAGTGATGGCTTAAGATTATGAACAAAACTCTCACACTGTCAACAACAGTGAAAGTCAGCAGACAGAAATGTAATATGGACAATGTTAAGTCCACGGGGAACAAAGACATCTCCTTCTGGGAGATTTGATAAGATCCATATTAGAGAAATGTGTATATTTCAATTAAATTTAGCACACTTACAGTGAACACTGTCTATGTAAAAAATTGATTTCCCACCCTAATTTTTTTCTTAAAGTAAAGGAAAATCTTTAAAATCTGAACATTCTACTAGATGTTGGAAATTCAATTTTAGCAGTGATTTAGCTTCAAAAACATTTTGTTAAGGTTTTCAGTAAGACAAAAAGCTAGAAATGGCTTAGAACAATGAAGCCCCACCACCACTAAATCAGAGAGTTTAAGATACAAAAAATTAAGTGGCCTGTTGGTTTCAATATCTTTCCAAATCCGAATTGTCTTTTCTTCTCTAAGCAAGCAGCTGAATAGAGAAATGTAGATAGAAATCTAGGCTCCATTTATGTAAAACTTGGAATGGTATTATTATGTACTCAAAATGTGCCTACCAGATAAATATATATTTTAATACATCTAAAGACAACTGTGTGTAAGAGACTATAATTAACCCTAATTTGGGTAAGGTGATCAAATGGCCTTCTTTGTGATTGTACTTCTAAGTTGGCATTCATGGAGAACCATAAAATACTCATCTGAAGGCAATCTGCACAATATAAGATGGAAAATATTAAATATTTCTTTTCCATATCAGATTTTTCAAAAATGTGGCATAAATGGAAAAACCCCAATCCATTTTTTTTTCACTTTCCAATATACTCTTGTTATAATTGTCAGATAGTATATACAGGTAAATCAAAGGTTTGATCCAGGATGATCATTTTAATATCTGCCACCATGTGGTGAGCACTTACTCTGTGTCAGGGATTTTTCTAGTTTTTAAAAATTCATCATAGTGTTTAATTCCTATAAAAGTTTTATTATGTGGGTGATATCATTCCAATTGTGCAGATGAGATTACTGAAGATTAGATCTCTTACCCAAGTTAATAAAAGGTGCAATACTCCTTTGAATCCCGATCTGACCACAAAATCTATGCTAAGTGTTAGGCTCTGTTTCCCAGGATTAATTTGAGATACCTTCCACATTATAGAAACACGTTAATAAATTGCTTTGATTGATAAATTTAAGAAAATCCCTGATGCGCCCAAAATACTGAAATATGTAATCAGTTTTTGTTTTCAAAGTTGAAGAATTTTTTTAAAGCCAAGAGATCGCCATGTGTTATCTGTTCAGTTTCAACTTATGTTACTTTTTGTTGCACTCCACCTTGTTTCAAAAGTGATTTGAGAAGACCAAAATAGATTACTTATTGTTCTTCTGAAATATGTTCCAAGTATCTAATTGCAATCAGTTCACTTTCAAGTATTCATCAATACTTTTAGATACATAGTAAGTCTGCCTTCCTATGTATCTATTGGTGATTCGTACTTTGGTTGCATTACCTGTAATTCTTAAAATATTCTGTTTTTAGAAATCTGGAATTTAAGGTGACTAATATATGGCAATCTTTCATAAAAATAAAGTGTTTCCTCCCAAATACCATCACTTGTGATCAAGAAGAATTGTTTTCTTTCTTTAGAATTAAAGTCAATTTGGAAAATCTTTTTCTATCTTGATTGAAAAGTTGAGTGATACTTTTAAACTTAACATAGTTTTTGAATCAATAAAATATTAAAGTAATGTGTAATATCGAGG